TAAATGACGCTCCGCAACGTGGTGACGTCATTCGGGGCGACTGGAATCGATAAGGGAATCGTTTGCAAAAATGGCAAACGATTCCAAGGAATTGAAACAGTGGGAACCGGTTCTCAACAAGAACCGGTTTTCGATACCCATCCCTAGTTCTCACACTCGATATATTTTAAGTTCTAAGCAGCATGAATGTGAGACAGCTTTATATTCAGGTATATTTAACAGCATGTTTTCTTTTCAGTAAATATTCATACAAAAAAGTCATAAAATGACATAATCTCTTTTCTCATATTTTTCTTTTTTCATGTTGGTTTTTGGAGGCTAAACTGCTTTTTGTGCAACACTAACATCTATCTGAAGAAAGAACATATACATCTGATAATCTGTGTGAGATCACCTAATTTACAGCAGATAACTGAGCGCAAGAGTGGTTCAGTCGGGGTGGGGTGGTTCTGCAATTACAGTGAAACTTGCTGACATTTCACACTCCAACCTTGAGGCTTTTATCACTCACAGTTTGAGCCTTTGTACCTCATGCTGTTTATGCCTTACAAAAAAGGTGTTAAAACCACTCTGACCATCACTCCATCTTCCCTCCTCTACTCTATATTAATATGTGGAGTGAAGAGTTAGGGGATCTCATGTTTATCAGGGCATAAGGTCCCCAGTCACACTAGTGTAGTTGAAATGAGTTTTTGAGAACAGTAAATAATGAATGATTTTTGAAAGCAAAAATAATCTTTTAATGAAAACAAAGTGTCAAAAATATAACTCACAAGCACGATGACAGACTTATCAGGTGAATGTTAATACAGAGAGATATAGCTTTAGAGCAGGTGCAAAAATTTCTGAATACAGAAAATATCAGCTAAAAACTAATTCATATTAACTAACAAATTTACCACAGTTATTTTGTTGTTCTGAATTTTATTTTTGTAAAGCAGTAGCAGTTATAAGATACCCTTATCTCAATCACACTGACTTCCTGTGTCTCTGCTGGCAGCTCTGTTTTCACACTTTATACATTAAATGTTGTGAGACAATTTATTATTCAGTTCCAAGTTACAGAATGAAGAATTTGTTTCCAGTAGATCTTCATACAAGATCATCATTTTCTTTGTAGGCATTGTTTTGATGTGCTTTTTCTATGTACTCATCTCAACTGTTTACTATCTATAATGTCTTTGTCAATAATGTCAATCTTGCAATCAAACTTCAAAGAAGATAAAAAATATATGTCTCTGCTTCCATTTTACCGTAAGCAGTTCTCAAAATAGAGATTTGACACATAGTAACATCAGTGCTTACAGAGCAAGTTCTGTCTTCTAGTTTTAGGGGTTTTTAGGGTATATATGTAAAAGGAAATCATACAGTATATACACGAATCTTAACATGCCTCAAGATTCCACAAATTTATATAAGAAACACACATTTGCATCATGTTTTTTTTACATTGTTTTCACTCTATTCTTCACCTTGTTGTGTGCTCTATAGTTGAACCTTGTCACTAAAGAGCAAATTCAGCAGTTCTTCTTTTCTTATTGTATTTATTTATCAACCTGTGAGAAATAATATTTGGGTGAAAGCCTCTCCACCTGTGTGTGTGTGTGTGTGTGTGTGTGTGTGTGTGTGTGTGTGCGTGTGTGTGTGTGTGTGTGTAAGGATGGGGAATGAGCAGTCTGTCATGCCTGAGAGGGAGCCAAGCCTGTTTAAATTGCCTTCTGGCTTCCAAGCCTCTCATCTGCAAACTGGCACCTCTTGTTCTCTTTCTGTCTCTCTCTCTCTCTCTCTCTTTCTTTCTCTCTCTTTCTTTCTCGCTGTCTCCCCCATCCTGTCTCTTTGCTTTGTATGTCCGCCTCTGTCTTTCCTCCTGTTTTGTATGTATGCCTCTATTCTTTCCTCCCCCGTCTTTTTTCTGCGCTTCTATTTTCCTCTGTCTGTTTTGCTCTTCACTGTCAGTTCTTGTCAGTTCTCCACCATGATGCACCTCTGTACTGAAAACAACGACACTATTAACTTTCCTTTGCAAACAAATTTGTTTTCATGGTCACA